GGGGGGTGTTATATACAGGGGGGTGTTATATACAGGGGGGGTGTTATATACAGGGGGGGTGTTATATACAGGAGGGTGTTATATACAGGGGGGTGTTATATACAGGGGGGTGTTGTTGTATATTAGGAGTCTGAATAACTCAATAATAATATTCTGTGACATCACACCCCTGTTTGGATTATAAGTTGATGATGTCACAGCATGCAATGTCCTCCGGCGCGATGATGATGTCATATCAGAGTCGGCTGACTGTATTGGACGCTCAGAATATGTAAATGACGCCCCCGCACCTCGGAGACATGGCGGTGTCACCCCATAAACGGGGTGTTATTATTATATCACAGAAATCACTGCGCTGGGAATGCGTGCCTAACTACCTGATTGGACCAGCCGCAACAATGTGTATAGGTGAACAAATGTAAAGCAAATATGTTGCGCTCGGTCTATGTGAACCAACTGCACACTAAAGTGTTAATAAACAAATCTGTGTAAAAATTACAACAATCCGTGTGAAAAAATTGATTCAAGTGGATTATTTACATATGACTAGAAGGTTCAACACACAAACATAATAAGAATAATAAAAATCAACACTGGAACCTTCAGAATTAGTGCCAGTGATCAACCTCATTGGTTCAAGCAGCACTCAGCTAAGAGAGATGAAGGCAGGTTTTCCTTTGACATGTTTCGTTCAATGACTTTCTCAAAAAGGAATCCTGTCTTCACCTCCCACTAGTAATTTATTTAAAAACTGTCCAATCTCTGTCTGTCAGATACAATCAACAACATCGATTACACCTGATCAGAAATTCCACATTCTGGTACAGAATAAGCTCCAACTGGGCTATATCCCAATAGGAGACAATGGTAAATGTATAATGTATAACTGTAGGAGCTCGTGCCTCTTAGTAATGCAAAGCTCTACTGTACGGGGTGTTATTATTACTCGGGGGGGAGGGGGTTTGCTTTTTGCTCTCGTCCACCAGCCCTTGGGAGAAGAGCTTACACTTATATCTGACGTTCACGTATAAATAATCTGATGACATCATCGCCGGCGGCATCCAGCAGGTTAATGGAGCCCGAGGATCCGGCGCTGACTCCTCATCGTCTCTCAGGACCAGCAAACATGGCCGCCAGCGACTGACAGCCGAGGCGGTGGCGACGTCTGGCTCTGCGTAGGGAATCGAGGGGCCGCAGCTGTGACACGCAGCCCGGGGTCACGGTGAGACCTTATTTATACGGAGAGTCGGACGTGGTCTGTCGGAAGAGACGTCCCGAGATATTGGGGGGGGGGGGGGG